GAGAGAGAGAGAGAGAGAGAGAGAGAGAGAGAGAGAGAGAGAGAGAGAGAGAGAGAGAGAGAGGTGAGTGCCCCGCCCGACACAGCGCATTAACGGCCATGTCGGCTTTTTCAAGCTGGGCGAGGTACAGGTGTTTTAAACTGCCAGTACCTTTCCCAGCTATGGGTCGCGGGCCCTGCGCGCTGAGTTTTGACGGCGCATCTGGCCGCCGCCGGAGGCCGAGTGCGGCCCCAGTGTTAACCGCCGGGATTCGGCAAAATGCCTGGGAAAGGTACTGGTGGTTTATACCACGACTACCTTTCACAGGCAAACACAAAGTCCATCTTGTAGCCTACAAGTTGGAATTCGTGGCCTCGGGGCAGGCCTGGCCCCCGCCGCTGAGATTCAGATAAATCAACATGAGAAAAAAAAAAAAAAAAGTATCTGACAGCTACTACATCCGTGATGTCGGGAAAGGCCCTCACCCAGGGCATAGTACCACTTGTAGTTTCCAGAATGCATGTGCCCACTATTAGGGAAACATGAGCATTGCTTTTTTTTTTTTTTTTTGAAGCTTGGTCCATTCGTATGCAACGCTGTCCAACCCACAATCATCTCCAGAGATGATGACGGGTCAAACGGTGGAGGTGGGAGAGGGGAACAATGTAGAAAGGTTGTTTTTTTTCCCCCTGAAGAAGACCGCGTGGCGGCGGTCGAAACCAGTCGGTACCTGACCCAGCTATCGGCCGCGGTGCTTCCCCGTTAACATGCCACACCTTTAGGGCTTCAGGGTACCGGACCACAATGGCTGGAAGCGCCAGGTGCTTCGGCAAAAATTGGAGCGCAGGGGCATTCCAGGCTCGGCATGGATAGCTGGGCCAAGTACTGGTGGTTTAATGCAATCTTTGTACACATTGTACTTTCATGCAATTTTGTGTTGTATTTTTTAGTGCAGTCGTGTATCTGAGTATACGTGTGCTATCCGTGTACTTGTATATCTCATCATTCAGCAGTTCAACCAATGGAAAGAGAGGATACCGACAGACTGTTTCATCAGACTGTGTCACCCAGTCTTTATTTTTTTTTCTTTGACTGGGGCGTCCAACTGCACTTGTCGAGAGCAGGCAGAATCCGCAATAATTTTTCTGAACTTGTTTTTTTTTTTTTTTTTTTTTTTGTTATATTTAGGAATAGCACTTATGTAAACCCTCTATCCCAGCGGTGGTAAGAGAACCGTCAGGATTGAGGGTTTATCTGTCAGGCTGCTCCATCTATTGGTGGGGAGCAGCACCTGCTGGAAACCGGGTCCAGCGTCCCATTGATACATCTTATAACATGGAGATCACTGTTTGTTGTTCCCTGCGGCTGTGAGCTTTTCTCTTCTCAGACTCGGGTCTCCGCTGTCCCATGGAGCTGCTAGTGATTCCCCTCCCTTCTTAGAGCACCCCGTATTTATTAGCCCAGCCCTGGAAAGCAGCCCCCCATTGGAATGCCAGACCTATTTTACTATCCCTTGAACCCCTTAAACCCTATACCCTCTACCCTCTTCAACCTCCTACACCCGACCTTCATAATCCTAGAATCCAGAAGCTCATGCTACAGAACTCGCCTTCCAAGCTTATAATTTGGTAGACACTTCTGCTATCATAGCTAAATTCGCTCGCCTGTTTGTCAGCGTAGGATGGGTGACAATGAAGTCATATCTCGTGAGACACCCTTAATAGCTAGAAACTTTTATTGCCACCGCCACCTGCTTCTGCTATCTGTTTCTTGTGGTGAGCTGCCGCCGCTGTAGCGCACAGGCCTTCCTCAGCACTCTTTCTCTTGTAACTTTATTTTGGGGGGTTTGGGGGGTTTGGGGGGTTTGGGAGGTGGGGCAGGGGGGAGAGTGGGGAAGGGGAAGATGGGGGTTAAAGTGTTTGCCCTTTTTTCTTTTTCTCTTGTTTTTAATTATATTTTTCTTTTTCTCACCCACTCTACAGGAGGTTGAACTTTTGTTTTTCTTTTCTTCTTTTCTTCTTAAACCACCACTACCTTTCCCATATGTCGGCCGCTGGCATCTTGTAGCCTACCCCCTTAAAATACCTGCCGCCCTGCCGTTGCTATTTTTCATGTCAAGGGACACTGGACCGGTTTTCCAGCAGGTGATGCCCCCCACCAATAGATGGGGCCTTCCCTGCATTGCTAGCCGTGGCTGCTCTTACCAGCACTGCGATCGACTGCAAGGGCTGTTTAATACATAGATAAATAAATAAATAAATAAAATTCATCGACGGAGCGTCGCGACCGGATTTGAATTTGAGGCCCGCGGCCCCACATGTGAGAAAGGTATTGGTGGTTTAAAGAAGGGGCTCGTTCGACACTCATCGGGCGCGTAAAGTCCCCGAGGAATTGTTCGTCCCACCTATCCTCGGGGATGCAGTCGGCAAAAAAAAAGTGAAAACACTCCGAAGGAAATTACTTGGGCTCCGAGGATTCCCCAGGCATTTCTTCCTTTTGCCAAAGGGACCTCACGAGGTCCCTTGGGCAAAAGGAATCCGCGTTTCACGGAGAGTAGCGGGCACATGGGTAGAGAGATGTTACAACCGAGAATCTGGATCGTGGCGGCACCCTATTGGCTGAAGGCCTCAAACACATTTGTTTTTTTTTTTCTTTTCTTTTTTCTTGTCT